GCAGGGAGTGGAGTGAATAACATGGTTCATTTTGGGTTCTCTGGCTGGTTATGCAGAGAATAGACTGGAGGAGGCTGGAATGGAGTCAGGGAGGCCAGTCAGGAAGCTGAGAAAAAAGGAGAGTGTGGCACGTCCGTCCAGGACAGCAAGGAGCCTACACTTGGACCTAAGCASCAGTTCTATTTCCTTCCAGAGAACTAGGGCAAACACCTGGTTCCAAAGAGGGCTTGGGCTGGTTCATTAGTTAGGTCTAATGCAATTTAAGATATTACCACTAGGMGGCGCAAGAACCCAAAGAGACGCTTAGAATCAGCAGAGTCCTCGGGGGAACTGAGTCCTGGGAGGCAAAGACAGCCAGAAGGGGGTCCCCTTCCTTTGCCCAGTYAGATGGCTGACTCTCGAAAGCAGGAAGGAAACTGGAAGGAATCCTGGACTGTGTGTTCGAAAATGTGAGTTCAAGTCCTTCCTCCACAGCTTCCTGTCTTAGGCGAGTTATTTTACCCCTGGAGCCCTCAACATCTGCAAGAAGGCAGCTAATTATCCTTGGCAGTGGATTTAGAGAGAGGTCCTGAACGGAGAGGCTCAGGACTTGGTATCTGAGTGTCCTGAGTTTAATTTCCCCCTTCGACTGCATACTGACTCTATAACTTAGGTCAAGTGATGTCACCTCTCGGATAAACAGTTTGCATCTCTGTTAAATGCARTTTTTTTKTGTGTGTGTGCCAGGGATTGGACCCAAGGGCACTTTTACTATTGAGCCACATCCCCAGCCCCTTTGTATTTTATTTAGAGAAAGGGTCTGCTAAGTTGCTTAGGGCCTTGCTAAGTTGCTAAGACTGGCTTTGAACTCCTGATCCCTTTACCTCAGCCTCCTGAGCTGCTGGGATTATAGGCATGCACCACCACCCCTGGCTTCAATGGGAATTTTAACCTATCCCTTGCGTGGGTGCAAATTTTAAATGAGATACTGTCTGCATGTAGTTAATGCAGGGCTGACAGATAATAACTGTTCAATACATGTGTATTATTATAGAAATTTAACTCATATTTATTAAGTATTTCATGAATTTCTAGGCCTGGGTCTATGCTACTATCCTCTGCCARTAATTCTGTTGGGGCAGAAGAGAGGAAGAATCCTTCTTTTCTGAGCCTCAGTTTCTCCAACAGAGACACAGGGAGTAAGATGGGATTGGATACTCAGTAGCAGCCTTTCCAGCCCTGATATTCCAGGCTTTTCTTTCTCCCTCCCTCCCTCCTTCCTTTTCTTTTCTTCCATTTATCCATCATTTATTCATTCCTTCAACAATTATTTATTGACAATCTACTATATTCTGGGTGCAGGAATCAAAACAGACCCACATTAAAACGGTTGGGCATCACTGGGAGCCAGTCCATTGGAAAAATGTTGGTTCAAAAAGCTTTGTTCTCCCTTCCAGCCATCAAGCCTTGCGAGTTATTTTGTGTTTGGAATAGGAAAAAATCATGCCAAGAGTTTATTTCCGTGCCTCTCTGTGTGGCTCTGTACACACACAGGAGCGCACACACTCATTTATATAGAACATTTGCAGCCCGTTGTCATGGGAACCATTTTTTTTTTCAGTGTCTCTGGGCATGAGGGCTGCCTGTGAGTAGAGGAGCTTTTATGGAACACCCCCTGCATGCACTTTTGTGTGGTGTGAGATCCTGCTGCGAGAGSWGCCTCCAGAGCCAGTGTGRGCCCTTTTGATCATTGCTGCCCGTTTCCCTTATTGATCTTGTCAGATATGAGTGAATTTGACTGAGGGAACCGAATGTCTAACTCAGTGACTAGTGGTCAAGATCCTCTGGGACATTTGCCAACTTGGTGGGACACAGAGGTCAGAGCTTGAGGTTTTTTTTTTGTGTGTGTGTGTATGTGTGTGTGTGTGTGTTTTGAAACCCCCAATTTGAGACTGTTGAAGGATTTGGGAAAGACTTGGATGAAAAGACAGAAAGCAGCCAGGGAATGTATTTTCAGAAACRACAGCTGCAGCAGCCACTTTTGAACTCAGTGGGCAGTGCCAGAGCCAGGAAGGGGCAGAGCGCCAGCCCAGAAGGYTGGGCAGGGAACCACTCTCCCCTGAGCCTCCACTCCGGGGGCCTGGCTCCTTTGTCAGGGCTTTGCATGTGGGATCCTCTGTAATCCTCAAATCAGCTCTGTGAGAGGGACATTGTCATTCCTAGTGGGAAACTGGGATCTGGAGGGYAAAGGAGCCAGGAAGTGGTGGAACAGATTCAGACCTACTTTGAGTCTGACCTCACAGTCCACTGTCCTGGTCCATTTTCTATTGCTGTGACTGAGTGCCACCCACTGGGTAATTTATAAGAAAAATAAATGTATTTCTTATAGTCCAAGAGCCTGGCACCGGCATCTGGTGAGGGCCTCCTGCTGCAGGAGAACATGGCGGAGTGCCTTACACAGTAAGGCAGAGCGAGCAGGCTAACTCTGGTCTCTGTTCCTCTTTTAATAAAGCCACTACTGCCATCCTAGGGGCCCCACCCTTGTGACCTCATCTAATTCTAATCACTGCAAGGCAAGGGATCTCCATCTATTGATCTCCACCTCTAATTACCATGATCAAGATTTCTGGAGATGAAATTTCCAGAACATTGGAGGCTTATTTAAACCATGGTACCCAGTACACTGAGCCACCTCTGCAGTCAGGTTTCTCCTCACCTCCAGGCCAGGAGTGGAGTGAGGGTCAGCCAGGAATGGTAATCCAGAGATTCTAGTCCTTGCAGACCTCAAGTCCTGGTGGCAGGTCCTGTCACGGGGCAGCTGCGAGGCTGACCAGACCAAGTCTAGCAGGAGACTTCTTGAACACAAGAGCTGGCTTGCCTTCTGGTTTCTGGAGAGCTTCCTATCTATCGGGAGCTCTGATTTATTTTGGTGCTGGGGATGGAACCCAGGGCCTCGTGCAGTCTAAGCACACACTCTACCACTGACCTTCACCCCCAACGGGTGCTTTCCACTTTTTCATTTATAAAGTCTTAGGAGATGAAGGCTGGTATCATCAGGACTACACTACAGATAGAAGCTGAAGTTCAGATCACACGGCTAGTAAGCGGAGATGGGAACCCAAGGGACTCTTAACCGCTGTGCCCTTCTGGCCCATGATTTAGAGCTCTGTGCTGCTACCACAGAGCCATGTGGCATTTCCCACCCCAAAGAGCTTCAGCTGTATGAGAGATAAGGAAGAGCTGAAGGGGGAGGGGGATCCCCATTGATTGACAGTCTCCTGTGTGTCCAGAACTGTGCTGGATCTTGCCACCTTGCAACTTCCTGGGAACATTGGAACTATCATCATGTCCTACGCAYAGAGGAGAGGAATTGAGGTCCAGASGGTGAAGCAATTCAACTAAGGTCTCAGAACTGGGATTTGTGCCAAGATCTATTGTGTTCCAAACCCCATGCCCAAGCCGCAGAAGTAGGACAGCACTGAGTCCTCCGCCCACATTTCTCAGTTATAGTGTCAGGGAGAAGGACCCAATTCCCCTAGGAGCAGGAAAGGCCACTCTGAAACTCCTAGGTGGCCGGGCATGGTGGGGCAAGCCTATAATCCCAGCAACTCTGGAGGCTGAGGCTGATTGTAAATTCAAAGCCAGCCTCAGCAACTTAGCAAGACCCAGTCTCTAAATAAAAAATAAAAAGGACTCAGTGGTTAAGCACCCCTGGGTTTAATCCCTGGTACCAAAACAAACAAATAAAATGAAATTTGGGTGGTAGAGAGCTCCCACTTCCCCCTACAGATGGCAATTCCCAAATCTGACAGGGTAGGGTAACATTCAAAGACTCACTCAACCTCCCTCCTTAACTGTTTACGGAGCATCCATCTCCCATGTGCCAGGCTCTGTGCTGGGCACACAGCAATGCAGGTGAAAGTCACAGTCTCTGTCCCTGAGAGAAAGAAAGCCTCTGTGTTAAGGCATGAAATGAAAAAGTTTTTTTTTTTTTTTTTTTTTTAATGTTCAAAAAGCAAGTTGTGCTATTATCCCCAAGCTATTTAAAATCCAGCTGCACAGAAGAGATAAATATATTTTGTTTGATTTTTCTGGGGCTGGGGATCGAACCCAGGGCCTCCCACACACTAGGCAAGTGTCCTGAGCTCTACCTCCCGCCCAGGAGAAATAAGTATTGACTATTTCCCCTGTGCCAGATACTAGGCTACACAGGCCCTTTAATATAGTGCAATGAAATCACAAGAAAATAATGTCCTACCGCAGGGGACGGAACAATTAATTCTGTTTAGGGCAGGGAGAGGGAACCAAGGAAAGTCCGTCTCACGGATGATACCTGAGCTGGGTTTGGAAGGGCACACAGGAGCTTCCAGGCAACCCAGGAGAGCCTTCAGGGGGAGTGGGGGCCACTGGGTGGAAAAGCCCTGGAGACATCAGAGTGTGTGGGTGTCCCGGGTGTGTGTCAGAGGGCCTCGGGGCGGGGACTGAGATGGACAAGTACCAGATGTGATGGGCCACAGGTGCCCATCTGAGGAACTGGACCGTAGCCCATACCCACTCACCCTGCAGAACGCGCGAGAGCCAGCAGCTGCTCCAGTGTGTCTGCTCCAGCGCAAGAAAAGGCAGGCGGTGAGGGTGGAGGGGAGAAAAGAGCTAATTGCCAAATTTGGGAAAATGAAAAATGTTCATCTGCGGAATTAATCCTGAACCGCTGCTATTTTCATTCTCCCGCTGGTGGGAAAAGGCAGAGCCGAGCCACGCTGCGGCCTTCTTCCAGGTGTCTGGAGCGAGGGCGGCCAGGCGGGGCTGGCTCCCACGGAGATCACAGGAGCCAGCCTTGGACGGCGCCAGCTGTGGGCATCTGGAAATCCAGCTTCCTCCTCTAGTCACTAGATACGGGGTAAATCAGAGTCCAGGATTTTCCCAAGGCAGCTAGCTTGGCAGGATATTTAAATGGCCTCAGACTCAACCAGAGCCAGGGGAAGGCTGGGTCACCCAGGGTAGAGGGATGTGGTTTCTAGACTCTGGAGGGGTGTGTGGGTGATTGAGTGAAGTCCCTGGGCTTGCACAGGGCTAGAGGCACTAGTAGGTAGTAGAGGCCTTTCACTGGGCCGGGCCCAGTGGAGATGCAGTCTGGTCTCAGTAATGGGACAGCTCAGTGGCTTTGGTGCATTTGAGGGTCCAAGGACCCAGACAAGGGAGAACCCAGACAAGGGAGGAAGGGCTCTGCTCTGTATCATCTCCTACATGCAGTCACTATGAATCCTCAGAGCCCAATTAAATGAATTAATGCATGTCAAGAATTTTGCCTAATTCTTGGTGCATAATGAGGCTCAGTATATGTTGTTAGTCAGATACCCAAATGGTTGTTTTTTTTTTTCTTACTAGTTTATTTAATCCCCACAGCTCTAGGAGGTAGAAATCCACCATTTAAAAAATTGTTTTACAGTTGAGGAAACTRAAGCACTTGGCTTAAGGACACACAGTTAAAATTGACAGAGCTGGAAAGAACGTCTACAGCTCAACAATGATAACAAAATGAATAACCCAGTCGGGCCCAGTAGCTCAGGAGGCTGAGGCAGGAGGATCTTGAGTTCAAAGCCAGCCTCAGCAATTTAGTGAGATCTGTTTCTAAATAAAATATTACAAAAGGGCTGGGGATTAGGCTTTTCGGGAAAGCACCCTGAGTTCTATCCCTGGTACCAAACCAAAACAAAGAGCTTGGGGGCGTGGCTTAGTAGTGGAGTGCTTGTCTAGCACCTATGGGAGGCCCTGGGTTCCATCCCCAGCACTGCAAAAGTAAATATATTTTAAAAATACATAAAAAAATTTTAAATAGGCAAAAGACTCTAGTAGAGGTTTCTCTGAAGACATACAAATGGTGAATAGTGAGCATGAGAAGATGCTCAGCAACACTAATCATTAGGGAAAAGCCAGGTGGAGTGCCACACACCTGTAATCCCAGCAGATTGTGAGGCTGAGGCAGGAGGATCACAAGTTTGAGGACAGTCTCAGCAACTTAGCGAGGTCCTAAGCAATTTAGTGAGTCCCTATGTCTAAATAAAATATAAAAGGGGGTTGGGGATGTGGTTTCGTGGTTAAACACCCCTGAGTTTAATCCCTGGTACAAAATAAATAAGGAAATGCAAATCAAAATAAAAAACCACAATAAGAAGCCACATGCAGTGACGCATGCCTGTAATCCCAGTGGCTTGGGAGGCTGAGGCAGGAGGATCGAGAGTTCAAAGCCAGCCTCAGCAATTGTACAAGGCACTAAGCAACTCAGTGAGGCTCTGTCTCTAATAAAATACAAAATAGGGCTGAGGATGTGGCTCAGTGGTCGAGTGCCCCTAAGTTCAATCCCTGGTACCCCCCCCAAAAAAAAAATCATAATGAGAAAGGGACTTCATACCCATTAAGGTAGATACCACAAAAAGAAAAAAGAAAAAGTATAAATACAGCTGTGGAAAAACTGGAACCCTGTCCCTGGCTGATGGAGTGACAAAAAATGGTGCAACCAGTTTGAAAAAACAGCAGGGCTGTCCCTCAAAGGTGAAACAGAGAATTATCATGTGACCCAGCAGTTCCACATCCACGTACGTGTCCCAAAGAACTGAAAGCAGGAACTCAAGCAGACACCTTCAAACAGATGCATTTTTGTTAGTAGCTGCATTATTCACAGTAGCCAAAAGGTAGAAGTGACTCCAACATCTGGAGACATCTGAATAGATGAACCGAACCCAAGCCAGCCCCACACAGTGGCATAGTTCTCAGTCCTCGAAAGGAATGAATTCTGATCCGTGCTGCAGCATGGATGCATCTTGAAAACATGCCAAGTGAAATAATTGACTCACCAAAGGACAAATGCCACATGATTCCACTTGCAGGAGATACCTCAAATAGACTCACAGAAGCAGAAAATAGTGCTGTGGTTGACGGGGACTAGGGGGAGGCCACGCGGGGAGCTGTTGTGTAGTGGGTATGGAGCTCCAGTCTGGGATGATGAGAACATTCCAGAGATGGATGGTGGTGACAGTTACAGAGCAACGTGAGTGTACTTTTTAATGCCACCCAACTGCACGAAGTGTAATGTGGTAAGTTTTACGTTGTGTGTATTTTGTTACCATCACCACCACAACAAAGCAACGAAGCTGGAATATCTAGGTCTGGCTGTCCCCAGAGCCCCTGGGGAGGGTTTCCTGGATCCACTTTCTCCTTCCTAGGAAAAGGAAACTCAGCGGCAGAGCAGGCGGTCGGGGGCTGGCACGGAGGTGCCCCAGGACTTGGCTTGGTGTGACTTATCATGCGAACGTTCCTTGAAGTGGACTTCTGCAGGAGAATTTTCCAGTGACCTATTTCTCTTTGCAACCAGACGTGACTTCCTGGGCTCCCTAGGGGCCCAGCACAGTGCCCTGCACATAGTTGTCTCTCAACAGTGCTTGTCTGGTGAATTCTGGAATTCCCTCCCGAGGCACATAGGGGAGCTGCGGCCTGTGCTTCAAGTGGCAAAAAGCCCTTTGGGGTGGCAGGATACCATCAGATGGTGAGAGACACCTGGGGCTGGAAGCCAAGAGAGGCCGTGAACTTGTATCCTGGCTCTGCTGCTCGCTTGCTATAACCTTGAGAAAATGCTTTCCCATCTGCTCCATCCCTAAATCCTGGAGTTTAGGAAAGGTAACCCCCCGGAAGGCATCCTCAGCCCTGAATAGACTCCACAGAATAACTTTTTAAAAACTGTGGTAACTACACATGAGATCGAGCCTCTCAACCATCCCATAATACTTTTTGCTCCCTGTTGCACCCTGGTGAAGCTGAACTATCTGCAGCCCTAGAGGCTGGCTGTAGTCACCTCCAGGAGTAGCCAAGGACTGCGGGCACAGTGTGGGGCAGCCAGCCCCGGGAGGGCTGAGGGACAGCAAATCAGAGAAGCTGAAAGGTGCCCGAGGGGAGGAGCTAAGGTTGTGGAGGTGCTTCCTCTACCCAGGTTTTGTTAAGGGTCTCTGCAGACAGGGTCCTCTCGTGGTTACAGGCAGAGCTCTCTGTGTTTATTTTTGGTACTAGGAATTGAACCCAGGCGTGCTTCACCACTGAGCTACATCCCAGCCCTTTTAATTTTTATGTTGAGACAGGATCTCCCTAAGAGGGCCAGGCTGGCCTCACACTTGCCATCCTCCGGTCCCAGCCCTCTGAGTTGCTGGGATCACAGGTGTGGCCACCACACTGGCTAGAGGCAGACCTCATGTCTTCAGTGGGCAAATAGCCCAGAGAAGTTAGGAAACTTGCTTACGGTGGACCCACTAGGCTGTGAGGTTAGAGTCCAGATCTGTCCTAAAGTTTTTGACTACTGGGGCTGGGGTGTGGCTCAGGGATAGAGTGCATACTCCATGAGGCCCTGGATTCAATCCCCAGCACGCTAAGAAAAAGTTTATATCCTTGGAAGGGAACTGCCACCCTCACATGCCACCCTCCCATGGCCCTGCTGGCCTGACTCTTCCCTGGGACAGCATTTGGAGCCCACGATGGGCATGCGCACCGCACAGGAGGAGCAAACATTTACTTCCCCACTAGGGTGTCTTTCCTTCTATTCACATCCCCTGACTACAGGAACCCTGACTCTCCTCCCTTCCTTTGGGCCTCCCATCTCTACACCTTAATGTCAAGGTTTTAGATCTTGGGCTACCAAGGTCTGTAAGGACTCCACTGTTGGCAGGCGTTGGTAGAGCGGAGCACCTACTGAGACACAAACCCTTTGTGGCTAATAAAGATGATTTCTTCTGAGAATCCCATGGGCTTAAGCTGAAAACAGCCGAGAATAAGAGGTTCCCTGAGGGCACTGGGCCCCTGGACCTGGGTGAGGCAGGAGGCAGAACTGGACTTTTTTTTTTTTTTTGTATTAGGGATTGAACTCAGGGGAACTCCACCACTGAGCCACATCCCCAGCTCTACTTTGTATTTTATTTAGAGACAGGATCTCACTGAGTTGCTTAGCGCCTTACTGGTGCTGAGGCTGGCTTTGGACTCTCAATCCTCCTGCCTCAGCCTCCCGAGCCACTGGGAGGACTCTTTTATTAAACATTTTTTTTTTTTGTAGTTGTAAATGGACAGAATGCCTTTATTTTATTTGTTTGTTTTTATGTGGTGCTGAGGATCAAACTCAGTGCCTCAGACATGCTAGGCAAGTGCTCTGCTACTGAGCCCTAGCCCCAGCTCAGGACTGGATTCCTGACAGACACGGCTGTGAGTGCAAAGACATTCCATGCAGACTTTTTTTTAAAAAATATTTTTTAGTTGTTTAAGTATCTTTATTTTTTATTTATTTATATGTGGTGCTGAGGATTGAACCCAGTGCCTCA